TATGGGACAGAAGTAGATTTCTGTATTTCAATTTTGTGATTCTAATACAGTTTTGGTCCATAGGTTGGATTAGGGCAGTAACATTAGGCGGCATAAACATTGTAATGATTTGACCATCATCACTTATGAGTTCATCTTCAGGTGGATGACTTGGAGCATTGTCAAGCAAAAGAAGAGCTGTTTTACGAAGACCTTTTTGTTCAAGGTAGCATCTCACTTGAGGAATAAATTTTGTGTCGAACCATGTTTTGAAAATTGAGCAAGTCATCCAAGCTGATTTTGAAGAATCAGGAATGTGTTTATTTTTCAGGCAACGTGGATTTTTTGACTTTCCAATAACAAGAGGTCTTATTTTATGATCACCAGACGCATTCGTGCGCGCTAAAAATGTCAAACGTTGTTTACAAACTTTTCGGCCAGGCGCATTTTTTTCTTTGTTTGAAACGTAAGTTTTATCCGGAATCAGTTTCTAATATAAGCCTGTTTCATCCGCGTTGTAGATTTGATCCGGCGCTAGATTAAGCTGCTTTATTTTTTCTGCTAATTTGATTAAAAAAGGATCTACAAGTTCTTTTTGAGAAGACAACTTTTCACCACAAATTTTTATAAATCGAATTCCGTGTCTTTTTTTGAATTTTTGGAGCCAACCAGAACTAGCGGAAAAGTCATCTTTTTTATATATTTTTTTGTAAAAGTATTTAGCTTTGTTCTTTAAAATGGTACCATCAATCGGTATATTTTTTTTTCTGCCTTCTAAAAACCATTCATACAACATTTTTCCTAGCTTAAAGAATTCACCAGTGCGCATTGTTTTTCGTTTACCTATCCAGGTAAAAAAGTCATTTTTACACAGAAATAAACACTAATTATAAATTAATGTATGTACTTCTACTTACCTAGGCCACCAAATGAATTAGCATTAGTAGAACTAAGTTTTTGACTCTGTTTTTTTATAGAGGAAATTGTAGACTTTGCAATACCATACTTCTTTGCTAAAACTGAACTGCAGACTCCTTTTTTTAATTCATCTAGAATTTCTAACTTTTCTTTTAGAGTTAAAAATTTTCTAATATTTCCAGTCATTTTTACTTATTAGGAAATTGAAAGACTACGATATTATTGTTTTAACACTTCCAAATTACTGACAAAAAATGTAAAGCAATGTACAGAAATGCAAATATAGAAAGCAAAACAAAAAAAAAACAACTCCAATTGTAACGGTTTTACAATAAGGAAAAAAACATGTGGTTGATTTACAAAAAATATTTTTTAGGGTCACTATTTAGAGTTACAAAATTGTTTTGGGTCACTATTTAGAATACGCAAAATTCAAATGGTTGGGTCACTATATTGGGAGGTCACTTTACTGGATGGTCACTATATCGCGACTCCCCTGTATATGCATGTAATACTATCGATTAAAAAATCATATTTAGTCATTTAATTGCAAATTAAAAGTAGAAAACCTTGAACATGGTAATATATACTTTAATATAAAAGTATAATATAATAGTATAATACTTTTATATAAAAGTCTATAAGAATTGATGTAATTTTCTTCTTAATTTCCTATAATACTCGTATGTATATGAATATAGGTAAAATTTTTGATTTTACCCAATGTTCGCAGCTGATAACTTGTTTCGAGATCCTAGAGCTGAATTTTGTTTTCGATAGTGTGTTAACACAAGAAGCGCCTTCTCTATATATGTGATTATATGCCCCCAGTACTTTGGTTTATAAATATTTGCAGATACTTGCAATTAGAAAACATACGGCTCGATGTATGCTGAACAATCCTAAATAAATTTTTTTTATTAAATTTAAATTTGAAATATTTCGAATCAAGTATTGCAATATAACAAGTACTCTTTTTAATCAAATTATCGTTAATATTCGGGAATTTTATATTTACATGATTAAATTGTAATTTAAGCTTAAATTTAGTTTTTTATGCTAAATTTTTAATGCTCTTCTGCACTTGAATAATCAACTGAATTTTTTAAAATGTAATAGTGTGTTGTATTTGTACACGAAATTAATTAATATACTTTCTAGAACACAAAAACTCTAAAATGTAAAAACAGGAAGGAGACAACATGTGCACGATCGGTTATATACTGACCACATTTGATTTCTTTTTGTTTACATTTTACTCACAGCTGCATAAATTTGATTAATGTATTAATATACAAAATGGAAATTAATTTATTATTTTATTTATTGTTTTCAAATTTTTACGATTTAAATTTCTAAACTTTGAAGAAGATCATTGCATTCAATTAGAAAACAATCAATTATATTTATCATTCAATTTTAAATTAAATTATCACAATATATTATTGCAGTTGACATTACAAAAGAAAAAAAATTATAATTTGAAAAAAAAGTATACTAACTTTTATAAAAAAAAATAAGAGTATTATAGAGTAGTGTAGAATTATGACAGAATCTTTAGAATAAAATTTGTATATAATGTATAACAAGAAAATGGGAGGCTAACGTACAAATATGCATACAGATGTATATTGCCATTCACAGTGCCGGCTCTAGGTTTGCATTAGTATAATATTTTGATGAAAAACTAATTTTGGACGCGCGTTTTTATCGATGAATTAATATAAAAATTTTTAATTTTTGACTTATCCGATTAGGAATATGTAGAAAAAACTTGTAGAAAAATTATGATCTTCTTCTTCAACATGACCTTAATTTTCAACAAATTTACTCTAAATTTTTTAATAATATTCTGTTCTATTCTGTTCTATGAATATACAAAAATAGAGTTTCGACATATTAAAATAGTCAAAAACGTTATTCTACAGATATTTTCTTTCCAATATCTAAATACACGAAATATAAAATTATCTAAACACACGAGCAGATAAAATTAATTTTAAATTATAAAAAAAATATATTAATGAGTACCTTTGTGGAATACAATTATTATCGTAATTAGTATTTATTTTTCTAACTCAAGCTAAATTAATAACTTTTTAGTCATTTGAATAAACAATAATTGTTAATGCTATCATAGAATTAGAATGTTTCAAAACACATTTCATGTTTGTATATAAAATATAGGCCAATTTTTCTCACACTATAATAAGAAAAGTTAGATTTTTTTCAAATACTTAAATGGATGAGTAATTTTTTATTAAATACAACATGAAGAAAATTCAAAATTTTATTTGCTAATTCGATTAAACCACAGATTTTCTACATTAATATTAATTCATAATTCTGAATTTTCTATATCAAAACTTTCTACTAGGATCAGAAACATATTCCAAATTTCCTGCCAAAAAAAATGTACAGTCCAAATATATTACTACACCGTAATGCATGCCAAACAAAAATTTTCTGGAATATAACAAATTCTCGAGCAAAAATTAATTTTTTCTCAAATTCCTGTAAGATAAATTTTATATTACCTGAAAATACTTAATGGTATAGGAATATTTTTTCACATGTTATAAAAATATTCGACCCTAGTTTTACAAAAGTATAACAAAATCCTAAATTCTAAAACTAAAGCAAATAATTCAAATTAAAAATTTACAATTTTTATAATAAAAAAATTTTCAGCGCGTTTTTTTTCTACAAATACTCTCTTTTTTTTTTGTCTCCACATTATTCAAATGCAAACGAGTGATGATCTTTCAAATGAATGATGGCACATGACACTAAAGTAAAATGTAAATAAATGCAAAAACCTCTCGAGAATAAGCTATTTAACGATGGTAAGTAGATATGCATATATATGTATATATAGTATTAATATGAAAAGGTCTTTTAAAGGACAAAAAACAAAATAGGAACGTATCAAAATTTTCCTTTTCTATATTTTGTTTATTTTATATTACCTACTATGGAGGACATTATAAAAAGAAAATTTTAATAATATTCAAAATGATTATAGCTAGTTATTAAAAAAAGAAGATGAAATAAAAATAAATATTTATTCAAAATTGTTTTGTTTGATGTTAAATAATATAAAGGTAATTTATATTTGCATATTTATTGCAAAATTATTTTTATTCTTATTCCCTTAAACTGTTATAAATATTTATTAAAGATTATTGTGAAAATTAATAACTAATATAAAAGTCTAATTATAATAGAATTCAACAAAATATACATTTTAGTTATAAGATATACGAAAAATGCATTCGTAAAGCATTACAACCGGTATTTTAACAATAAATTTTTATTAAATAAATAGTGAAATTATTTCGAAATTGAATAAATATTATTAAAGATAGCTATTGTTGAAAGATATTAAATATTAATAAATTGAGTTTGCTTAAACAACTAGGGTAAAGAAAATATTTCAAAGTATACAATGCACTTCATTATCTAATATTTTCTCTGCAATTATTCTAAAATTTAAAAACGGGACTTAAACAAAAAAGTTCTGTTATTGACTTTTTATTTATCACTAAATATGCACATATATACTCACATACACAAATACGTATTTTATGTATAAATCATATTGTTTAATAGCTCCGTATGTGTACCTTAAGCACTATAAGAAAATAAACCTATAATATCTTGCAATAAAGTGTAAATATTTATTCTTATAGAAATATAAACAGGAAAAACTTAAAAGTAATAAATAAAAAATATTTAAATGTTACTGAAATACATTTTAAGTATAGGGTACGTGAAAAAAAGAAAGAATAAAAAAAATTAATTTAAACAAAATTAAACAAACAAATAATTTTCGTTGCACTAATAGAACGTAAATTCAGAAATTTATACCATATGAAATCATGACCTCTCACACTGTAAAAATAATCTTAACTTATAAAATATGGTAAGCAATGACATTCGTCACAGTAAAGCGAATTTCAAATATCAATAATAAAGTAAAAATGTTCTCAAAGATAAGCCATTACTATTTGTTACCACAGAAATAATATCGTTTTAAAATTTAATTTATACAATTTTTTAAAGGATTTTATTAAATAATAATATTGAATATAGTAACTTACATAAAAATCATTTTAAAGATTTCCCAGTATCTTCTTACAAAACCCATTTTTTTTTTTAAACTTCTATTTCAGTCAAAGTAACTGTTGCAATCTAAATTTTTCTTCCTGTTATCAATTTTTTAATTGAATTCTCTTAAAAATTACGTGAATTTAAAAAAGACGGTTTTTCTTTTTTACTAATATTTTAATTTCTCTAAATCACTTTAAATTTTTTTTGGTTTAATGCGGTATTATGATAATTTTTTTCTTATAAATTATTACAAAATTTTTAAATAAAAGTTATGAGTAAAATTTAAAATTCAAAATTATAAAAATTTCTTTATATTAAATCAGAAAATAAAATTTTACTTATTATATAAATAATTACTATTTTTCTTATTATATTTTAATTATATTATTCTAATAAATATTATAATTTTCATGCAATTATCTTGTACTTGGTGGTTGGAAATGTGTAACGTAAATAAATCTTGTTAAAGAATAAACGTTTTTCCATATAATTTTTAAATTCTTAAAATTTTTTTTATATTTTTTACTTTTGTTTGATGTAGATGTTTAACCGCACGATATTATTTTTTATTTTATTAATTTATTTTATTAATTTACTTTTCTTTTATACTTTATAAACGTTTTAAGCGTTAAACACATCCATCCATGGAGAACGATTAACTCCAACTGAATTTAAATACAAAACTTTTTTTGGAAAATATTTAATATAAAAAAAAAATTTATTCGAAACCGAATAGAATTTTCACATATAAAAAAATACATACATATAGGTACAATGTGTGAGACATGCACGTTCATTTATGTGTACATATTATGTATGAGTACTCTTATATATTATATAAAGTATTATCATAATGTGTTTCTTTATTTTTAAATATACATATATATATAATATATATTATAATATATACATAAATATATTTTATAAATTTTCATGATAAAAGTTTATATTTTGTTTTTCCTATTTTTCCGCATCAATCGTGCTCATTTCTTGTTATAATGAAAGTTTTTTTCTATATACCTATATGCATATAATAACGTATGTCAGTATATATGTATGTTCATATGTATTTATATAAAGCAAAGTGCTTAGTATATCACATCTATGTGTATAGTCTAAAAAATCTGAATCTCTGCTTTTCTTTTAATATAAATATCTATATAATATACTCATAGTTGCAATATAACAATATAGTAACTTATATACTATGCAGAATGAGATTAACGACTAAACGAGCACGTTATAAAAATGTAAATGATAAGAAAGCTGAAAAATCAAATTGTCTTGGCTATATTTAATTATAATGGACATTGTATAAAGATGCTTTAATTATATTAATATACACTATATCTATCTGTTATATTTTTATATATAATATAATTTATTAAAACATTTAAATACTTGTTTTCTCGTTGTGTTGTTGTTAGTGAATAAGTAAAGTACAATAATAATATGATAATTCCGTTTTTCTCTTCTCTTTTAGTAAATTTATTTTCCTCTCAAACTTTCTCAAATAATATGTAGTATGCCTACATGTACTTTATGTGTACATAAAGAATAATTACATGTATATGTATAAGAATAAGTGTATTCTGTATGAATTATGTGTAATATTATATAGGTACATAAAATATATCTCTAGGTTGAAATCATGTTTCATATTTTATATCAACACTAAATAAAACTGCGGGTCAACATTTATTTTATATAAAATACAATAAGATATTATGTATATAAAATATACAAACTTGTATACATACATCTTATTTTATTAACGGAATTATATGTAATTGAAACTTGTATATTGTTATACTGCAAAGACAACACCATCAAATTAAACATATGTTTCCAAGTTTTTAAAATGAAAAGAAAAAGTAAAAATGTTGATTAAGCTTTTTAATACATTAAAATTAAAGAAAGCTTTTGTTTATGTTTGATGGAGTGAAATGAAAGTGAATTTTATCTTAAAGAATTTTACTGACATTTAGAATTTTTTTTTATAAACCAGTTACATTATTTGGCTGTATTTGCTTTAAAGATATTAATAAAAACAGAAAAATTTGTCGAAATTCTACTTAAAAATAAAATTTGAACCTAGCATTTTAAATTTAAATTGTTAATTAACTTATCAAATTTTAGTAATTAATTAAATTAACTTATAAAATAAATGTGTATGTAAATTTTATACCGTTACATAACTTACCTAAATGAAACTTCCTCTTTCCGCTTAAAAGTATAAAATTCACGTACACCATTACGTATTATGTCATATTTATTTTGATAGTACTACCGTGTCTAATAAACTGCACGCATTTCGATTCATTGAACTAATTATTTTAATTTTGTTTTTAGTAGCTATTTAAAATTATTATTATAGATGATTATGGACCAAATGCAGTCTTCTATTTCAGTTCAAGAAATACACGTTTTAATAATTTTTAATCAATTATTTTCGCTTTTAGCAAATTGCCGTTCAAACTAATTTTGGGATTATATTGTAAACTAATTGGTTATCAAAGAAAATAATGAACTTCTTTTGCCTTTTTTTTTAAAATAAATTAACATAAAAACATGTTTTCAATTCCAAAATTAAAACTAAAAATAACTTTAAATAATATAAATGTCATTGAAAAAAAAAAAGATTATCGTAAATTACGACCTACAACATAATTTGCTTGTGTGAACGCAGTCGCATGTAAACAGATGATATTTGTCAAATTATATATCGTAAGATCTGGTATATGACAGTTTATGAGTTTGATAAACAACATTAATTCCTTTTGAAGAAATGAAATATAAGTTTTCACTTCAAGTTTTTGTTTTTTTCTAAAAAAATAAATTAAAAATGTTCGTTTGTAAATATTTCGTCATAAATTTCTGCATTTCAGTATTTTATTTATCCACTTCATTGATTGCAGCTTATGAAAACAATGTAAGTGTTAAGAAATATAAGTTAAACATACTTAAGGGTATTTTTATATCATTAATTCTTTCAATTTTATACAAAGCTACCGCAAGAATATGTTGAATCCGTCCAAACTTCAACACATACAAATAACTGGGCAGTATTAGTTGATGCATCAAGATTCTGGTTTAACTATAGGCATGTTGCAAATGTACTTTCAATTTATCGTTCTGTGAAACGTTTAGGAATCCCAGATAGTCATATAATATTAATGATTGCCGATGATATGGCCTGTAATCCGAGAAACCCACATCCTGGTTTCGTTTATAATAATGCAAATCAGCACATAAATGTGTATGGTGATGATGTAGAAGTCGATTATCGTGGCTATGAGGTAAGGACTATTATTTGTGGTGATCAAAAAAATTTAAATAAAATTTTTAGGTTACTGTTGAAAATTTTGTCAGGTTATTAACAGGAAGAACACAAAATGGTACTGCTAGTTCAAAAAAATTGTTAACAGATGCTGGAAGCAATATTTTAATTTATTTAACCGGTCATGGTGGGGATGGTTTTTTGAAGTTTCAAGATTGTGAGGAAATAACAAATCAAGAACTTGCAGATGCTGTTGAACAAATGTGGGAAAAAAGAAGGTAAAAACTGTAATTTCTTAACTTAATGTTAAAGTATGAATTTCGTAAAACTTTAAGGTATAATGAAATATTCTTAATGGTTGATACATGTCAAGCTGCGTCGCTCTATGAGAAATTTACGTCACCAAATATTTTAGCAGTAGCCAGTAGTTTAGTCGGAGAAGATTCACTTTCAGTATTTTTTTAAATTAATATTTGTGTATACTGAACTCATCTGATTTAATTTTTAGCATCACGTTGATCCATCAATTGGTGTTTACATGATAGATCGTTATACATACTATGCTTTAGAGTTTTTAGAAAAAGTACAACCCAAAAGTAATAAAACAATGGCAGAATTTGTAAGAAATTATGTTCCATTTTCATTTGTTTTTCTTTCTTTTAATTTTGTTGTTTTCAGTTACGAGTATGTCCTAAAAGAGTTTGTATATCAACCGTTGGAGTTAGGTACGATTTATATAACCGTGATCCAAGCAAGGTACCTATTACAGATTTCTTTGGTTCAATTAGACCAACACAAATAGTAAGAGATCACATAAACATAACGCTGATAAATGAAGAGTAAGTAAGAAAAACTTTAAATTCAGTAATGCTAATGCAATTTTAGGAATTTGAAGAGAATTTCAAATTAAAAAATTGTCTAAACATTTTAAAATGAGAATTAATTAAGCTCTTTAGATAATTCTGTTATTAGTTTTATGCATATTTGTAAAACTATTTATTTATTAGCTATTTAGTTATAAGAAATATTCTACTTTTGAATGCGGAGCAAAGTAAAATTCACGTAGACAGAAGAAATAAATAGATAATCGACGAAATAAATAGATAAATAAGAAAGACAGAAATAAATAGATAATCGAAAATATAAATTTTTTTATTAATAAGACGAGAAAGAAGGTTTTTTAACAATTAGGTTTTTGCAAAAACTTAATTTGACAATAGCACAAACAAGCCAAAAATTGCTAATGTACCAAAAATTCAAATAATGTGCCAAAATATATTTGCATAAATAATAATTAGACATTATTAATTTAAATATGTATTTAAAATTGAATTTATTATATAACTTGAGTTTTTTCAGGGATTTGCTGGAAGATCTTCATCACTCTCATCCAGTTCCACGAGAGTTCAACTACTTCTTTGAACCTGAATTTCCTAGTGAAATGTTTATCAAATCTGATAAGCATTAGAACGACTTAGCTACAAATTTTAATATATCCAAAGACTTAAAAATTAAATCACGTTATAGTTAACTTTTCTTTTTTAAGTTAGTATGTAAATTTATGAACAAAGAAAAATAAACACTCATATTCAAGAAATTTTTATTAATTTTTTTAAAATTATATTCTTAAAATTTTATGTATTGTTTTTAAAATTGGGTGCTTGTCGCCACAGACACCCTTAATATCATCTCCATCAAGGGACCAAAGCATCGCTCCTCCCAAATTTTTGTTTTTTAAATATTTAACTTTAGATTCCACTGATATCTCATTGTCATAACTTAACCACTGATTGCCTCTAACAGCATACGGAACATTTTCACCAACGCACCAGCACTTTTCCCAATGATGTGCTTTAAACTCTTCACATATTTCCAAATATGTCAACACTCCTGATTCTTTCGAATAAGGACCAGCCATACCAGGACCATTCGCTGGGGATCCAACTGCATTTGAATTTGGATTCGATAAAGACCACGTTCGTCCATAAACTGGGATTCCTAAAATTAGTTTACTGGGTGAAGCTCCATTTGCTATCCAGTTATTAACTGTGGCATCCTTTAAAACATATTTTGTGTAAGTAAACTTATTAGAAATACAGTTTAATAAAAATATTCATATTTAAATTAACTTACATAACAAGAAAATGGAGCGTTATGACCCGTAACGGCTTCCCAAGATCCATGATAATCATACGTCATTAAATTAATGAAATCTAAATATTTATTCATATTTTTCACATCATATGCAGTAGATATTAGAGAAACATCAGCACCAACTGCTGCTGATATTATAAATCCTCTTGGACTTGATTCTCGCAGTTCTTTCAAAAATAATATATAATTTTCTTTGTCACTTCTTTGCTTTGGGTATTCCCAATCTAAATCAAAACCATCAAATCCCCAAGTTCGTACGAAATTTATAACCGATCCAACTAATCTACTGCGTTTGCATTTGGAGCTCATTATTTGAGAATATTTCTCTGAACCCTCATTCCAACCACCCATGGCAACAAGAAGCTTAACCTCAGGATTTTTCATTTTTAAATTAATAAAGTTCCGCAAACCACCTGAAATAGCAAATAATTAGTGTAGGTACTTAGGTAATGCACTTTAAAAGGTAAAAATTCAAAGTTTAGAAAAGCTTCATTATGTTTACCATTGGTTATATCATTATTTTGATCCAAAACCTGAACATTGCCCTCAACATCAGCACCAATAAAACTGTATATAATATGTGTGTACAAAGACGGATTAATATTATCAATTTTCACTTGACCATTTCCATTTCTATAAGTGGCCCAACTTCCATAGTACCCAACAATTTTTTCTATACATTTTTTTTTAAATTTTAAATTGATTTCTTAATGTGTGTATGTGTACATAATATGTATGTGCATAAATATTCACAATATAAAACTTTTGAACTTACTTGCAGATGACATGTTTCTTAAAAAAGTTCTGTGTATGAAAGTATGTATGTAAGTATACTGCGATCTTAATCAAATTTTTTTAATAAAAAACGATAAATTTAATATAAACTAGACAGTCTGAAGTGTTATTCCCATATGAAATATAAAAACTGATGTGATACCCCTTTTATAGTCTCTCATGATTTTATGATTCACCAAACCAATATTTATTAAAGTTATTAGTGTTTAATTTATAGTGTTCGTTGCTTTATACTTTCCCCCGAAGGAATATAATAATTAAAGAAATCACTATCAAATTTGTGAAATTCGTACATTGTTCTAATTTTCCGGTATTTCCCAAAAAACGAATCTTTGAATGAAGAAAAAAATTTAGTTTTGACATTACTGGTATACATCAACACTATTTGTTTTCATCATCCATCTACTGGCGTATTTTTAAACTAGCTTTTTTTTCGCAAAAAAAAAATGTGTTTACGTTATTACGACAATTCAAATTTTCGTTATTTTAAATATTTAATTGTACATAATTTCTTTTGATATTTAACTACTTCATTAATTCATTGTTCACCCAAGGTATTTTGAAAGGTGAACCAAAGCCTATTGGAATAGGTTAGAATGATTTTCACTAGCAGGTTTACAAAAAAAATCCAGGTAAATATTTTTGGTAATATAATTTTTGTACACAAATAAAAAAAAATAATGTTGCGTATATATGCATTTGTTTAAATATACAGCTATTAACACAATAATAAGAGTAATTTTCATTCCATTTTTTTCACCTCTAATAGCTATTTTGGAGAAAAGTTCCTGATATTTCTGGATATACATGGACCAATAAATTATGGCAGATACGTCTATAAGAATTGTACATTCTTAATTGCTATTTTAATAAGTTCTGAATAAACGATCATCATAATTAAGCTCTACCTATTTAACTTTTGAAACTACAGCGAAAGCTAGAAAACGGTAAAAATTTTTATCAGAAAACAATACTTTAATAGAAAACAATAGTTTATTTTATTAATAATGCGATAATTATTTGGGTGTAGCACAAAAGTGTACATACATACTTGTGTTATTGAATATTGTTTTTTTATGTTTTACGCATGGGCACTATGCCAAGAGTAAATAATTCAAACAAAAGTGATTAAACTTTCTATTTTTTTTTAACAATTATTTTACATTAAAGCACGTTTTATTGCATTTAATATTGGGTATGGCTCGCCACATACTCCATAAACATCATCTCCATCAATAGACCAAACCATTATTCCTCCCAAACTATTTTCGTTTACATATTGAGCTTTAAGTTGCACAGATTGAACATTATCATAAGACAACCACTGATTACCTCTAAAGGCGTATGGAACTTTCTCACGATTATCCCAATATTTTGCCCAATCACGAAATGAATGAAATTCTTCACATATTTCCAAATATGTCATCATTCCTTTTTCTAAAGTATAACGGCCAGCCTTACCTATACCACTTGTTGATGCTCCAACTCCATGTGAATTTGAATTCGACAAAGTCCATGTCCGACCATAAATTGGAACTCCTAAAACCAATTTACTTGGTGAAGCTCCATTTCTTATCCAAGTTGATACTGTATTATCCTTTAAAAAAATTTACGAGGTTTTTTTTTAGCATATAATACATGCACATATATATATTTATATTCATACCAAGCTAGAAAACGGAGCATTATGACCTGTAACCGTATCCCATGATCCATGATAATCATATGTCATTAAATTGATGAAATCTAAATATTTATTCATATTTTTCACATCATATGCACTAGATATTAAATATGTGGCGGCACCAACTGCTGCTGACATTATAAATCCTCGTGGACTTGACTCTCGCAATTCTTTTAACAATGATATATAATTTCGATAATCATCAGAAGAGCCACCCCTTTGTGATGGATATTCCCAATCTAAATCAAATCCATCAAATCCCCATGTTTGTATAAAATTTATTATAGACTTAACTAATGTACTACGTAACGAATAAGATTTCATAATTCGCGAATAGTTTTCAGATCCTTCATTCCAACCACCCATGGCGACAAGAAGCTTTACATTAGGATTTCGTTTTTTCAAATTAATAAAATTTTGGAAACCACCTTTGAAAATATAGAAATATAAAAAAATTATGTGTGTAATTTTACCAGCTTATTTACAATAAGTTAACAAATTAAAAATATTCTTACCGTTGTCGATATCATTAAATGTGTCTAATACTTTAACATTACCATAACTGTCGGCTCCAATAAAACTGTATATGATATGTGTGCACAAATAAGGGTTAATGTTATTTACACTTACTTTACCATTTCCATTTCTATAAGTAGCCCAACTACCATAGTAACAAACAATTTTCTCTGTAAAATTTAATATTTTCATATATTTAAATTATAAAATTACCTTATTAAATAAAAATTTAAATATAATTTAATACATACTTTCTGATCTAGCAGAAGCCATTATTCCAATTAGTAATAGAAATACTATAATGGATGTAGAACTTTTCATTTTGAGTATTGAAAAATTCTACCGAAAATTAATGAAATTGAACTTAAGCAATTGCAAATGAATTGAAAACTCAGGAAATTTTTATTTTCGCAACGATATTTTATTCATATCGGTTATTTTATCTTATCAAGAATAAAAATTTTAAAAGGAAATTTTATCATAAATATGAAAAAAAAAGCGGATAAATTATATAAAACTTAATAAATTTTGTCATAAAAATTTTTTTTTGAAAATCATAGCTTAAGCTTAATCTTTAAATTTCATTAATCTATAATCCGTATTAAACTTATGAATACTAAGTATACATCTAAATATTATATAATTTCTCAATTTTAAAGTTTTTTTTTTGTATTAACTATTTTTAAAACATTTTCGCTATCCCCTTTTTATCTTATCACAGCTCTTTAGAGAGAAAATATCAGAAAATTGAAATGAATAATCGTCCAAGTTTTATAATTTTTCCAATAGTTTTTAAATTTCCTATATTTTCTTTGTGTAAATATTTATATGATGAGCACAAATTTACCCAATCTACAAAATTTTGTTGAATAGACAACAATACAGACATGGATTATGATATGTTTTCATATTGTAATCAGCTTCTCAGTGCAATTAAAACCAATTTCTTATTATAGAACATTTTTTATATTCTCCGCGTATATAGACCTAACAATTTTGATAATATTGTGGCATTACACATATTATTATTATTTTTTTTAATATTATAATTTTAAGTCATGGTTTTTTAAAGACGTCGGATATAAAAAATCCTTGTTTCCGCGATCTATGTTCATCTACTTCAGTTCTTACATAAAATATGTATATTATTCCGTATTATGATAAGCTTAATTGATAAAGTAATTGAATCAGTATCAACATATAAATCTTACACAGTTTACAATACTTACATTTTTAAATACTCCCTAAGCAAAACCATATTATGTGTATTCTATTATACGTCATTAATACAGAGCAATAGCTTAATAATATACATATATGTACAATAACAACAGGAATTTTTAAAGTATGAATTTTCGTAAACTAATATGATAAACTCTTATTCAATACTTATCAAAAAAGTTCACGTAATTTTCTGATACCCTTCCCTTCTACACCCCCTCTCAAAATATTTAAATTTTTGTCATAATTAAATTATTTTAAAAATACGTAATATTAAAGCTTTCATGAGCAATACCTAATGAATGAAGCTTTAACTCGTTTTTTAATAATTGGTAATTATTAACACATAGTTATGAATAATTAATTAGAACAAGTGGAACCAAAATTCTGAAAATTATTTGATAATAAGAGAATAATCGAAACTAAAATGAGTTTAAGAAATAAAAAATGTAGAAGAAATAAAAAAAACAGCATCAATAGAAAATATGAAAACAAAAGCCTCTTATCAAATCAGTCAAATTTTGGTCGGCATTGCGTTCAATTACATAGATTTATCAAATTTTATAGATAATTTCTAGAATTGGTATAATAAATTTTTTAATCCCATCTTTAAATAAAAAAAATTCTAAATGAATTTTCCGCATATGTTTACGTTAAAAAGCAATTTTTTGTAAAAAAAAACGTATAAAAACCAGGTATTCTATAGAATTTTAATTAAGAACGTTTTCAACTTTTCAAACGAAAACTTTTATTTTAAAATTATTATACAAAAAAAAAAAAAAAACAAAAAAAATGAAAACCATCATTTCATTCATTGTTTTGTTAACCATTTTTGGAACATCTGTTAATGCTGGTAAATCATAGAATATTTTTAATTTTATATATTTAATTAAAAACAAAATTACTTTCCTCGAATAACATTCGAATATAGCATTCTCTGGATGTGAATCACATGGACAAGGATATTGGGCTGATACTGAAGATTGTACTTTATTCCATATTTGCTACAAATTACCTGGGTAATTTTATAAAAGAAAAAATATTAATTTACTTGTATGTTATTGATGAAAATGTTTTCAAAAAATTTTAGAGCACCCTGGACTCATATCCCAATGAATTGCGCACCCGGAGATGCTTTTAATGCTAAATGGAGTTATTGTTCTAAAGATGCTGTGAAAACTTATTGTTAAAAGTTGAAAATGAATTAATTCACTTTTTTTTTCCTAAATTTTCATTTGATCGTAATCTCATTATTTTAAATAATAAAATCGAATTATTCAGTTGTTGGCCCTAAAATTATTGTACATATGAATAAAATATAGTCATTATTAAAATTAAATTAAATCTTTTATTATAAATGATTATCAAATATTACATAAAATTCTAAAATCCAAATAGATGGCAGTATGAAATTAGGAAAAGGGAACTGAATTATTTATTGCAAGTACTAAGATATGTTGCAAGATTTGACTAACTTTTGAAAAGTATCAGAAGACCTTATACACCAAAATTCTGCCCATATAAATGCGTTAAATGAAAAATAAGAACAATTGCATTTTATAATTGAATCAAAAAAAAATCAAAAACCTGGCTGAATCAATCAAAAACCTGGCTAAAAGCAACTGCTTCTAATGACTTACATACATTTTCCAAAAAATTTTTTTAATTTTTATATTTCTAGTAAATGGTAATTTGTAAACTGATCGTTCGTCAGATCAATTATGAATTTGTCGTGTCAAAAATGAAGCATGATTTGGATATTAAATATACGAGTATTAACTTATTTCAAAACTTTCCTTTACATAAATTGAAAGTGAAATAAACTTAAATATAGAACATATGCATAATGCGAAAAGGACATTGATGTAAGATATAAATAAAAGTTGATGAATGATATAAAAATATTAGAAACTATTAGTAGAGGATTAGAGCTTATTCTTCATATCCCGTTTCTCTAATAGATTAATATTTGCTATAAGCGCTATAAACGTTTTTTGTATGTTGCATATAAAAAAGTATTATTATAGACACGAATCATTTATTTTATAGTGGTTTTTTTTCATGATAATAATTTCTAATTTTTACGATAAAAATGTATAACTATGACAATAGCCAATACCTACCAATAGTAACATAATGAAATAAAATATATGTAGTATGTGGATCGGAATGTGGAACGTGTTATGGAGAAAAAATTATTAAAAATTCAAACCATTTGTTCAAGATACGTTATTAATAACAGACATAAAAGTTATAATCTGTTATGATGTTAATACATTAAAAAATATATGGTTTGAATCTTGAAATTAAAATCGTCGAAACTTCATTTCGTTTTATCTCTAGTCTCTAATTAATTTACTTTATTTACTTATTAATTTGAAATTGATAGAATAAAACAGACAGTTTAATTAAATTTAATTTAAGTCCACGCTTTGCTTTAAAATCAAAACAAGTAGTTTCGGTTAAATCAAGTTGAAAATTTACAATCACTTTTGTAAATATTTGGAAAAATGCAACTTATTTCAAGTTTGTAACTTTTATTTTTTACTTAGTTTTAAGATTAAATTTGTTTTTCTTAGAATGCTCCAAAATGAGTCAAATTCTGTTGAATTATAAATGGCTATAGGATTATAAATGCTGCAGGAAAATACTATGAAGAAGAAGCAAGTAAGATTGTATTAAAGTGAACAATTTGAGAATTATCTTCATGCATATAAAGATATCGCGTATCATAAATCATTTCTTAAAAATTTCAAATAAAGTAAGAAGCGTTAAATAACCACACAAATAATAAAATTGAAATTTTGATTAAAGACTTCGTTATAAGACACCTTTAGCATCCATTAGATATTAATGTGGGTCATAAACTAGCAATTATATACGTAAGTGCTTAATTAACTAATTAAACAACACGTAATTAAAAATATATTTTGAATATTTACAAGGTGGAATAAATGCTTTTCCTTCCTATGTTTATGTTTTTTCTCTTGAAAAGAAATAATGAAATTGAAATTTAAAATTCTCTGTTTAATATATGTGTACTTACAACCAACGTTCAACAAGCAAGTGCCCTCATATATGTATACATCAACATAATTTTAATATAAATGTATTTGCAAAATGCATAAGGGTAAAATACCGCTGGCGAAAGTATGTAAGTAAGTAAGTATAATATAATCGGCCTAAATTGATTATTTTAAACTATCGAAACATATTTAACACCTTAATCTTGATATCAAAAAAACAAGTTGACCAATTGTATAAGAATTCACAAAGGCTGAAAAGACAAAGTGCATCGAGAACTTATATGTGGAAAACGACCCGTCTATATCACTACAAATAATTTTCCATAATCTTACAGTGAAAGGAAAAACGTCACTAAATTAAAATTTAATATTACCTACAACCTATATGTTGCAAAAAGCAATAAGTTTTCTTAGTTGGCAATGTTTATATTACAACCGACAAGTAAACCGCTCATTGTTTTTAGAATTATTCCTAATTGTTTTCAAAATTTTAAAAATATTGGAATAAATATAGCTTTTCTCACAAGTCTTCCCACATCTTCATTAGAAATAACAATTTAATACTGACGTTTGATTTATAAGATAATTTTCATTTAAACTTTTTTCAACCATTCTGTACCAGACATTCTAATATAAAATGTTTTCAATGTCATCTAGTTGTTTTATTATTGATAATATTTAATTTAATAAAAGTGTGATTTTTAAAGTGACACAAATATACCCAGTGGCTGTAAGAAAAAATAAATTTAAATTTTGTACATTTTTATTTTTAATTCTTGTATGTACAATAGTTTATATAATAAAAATTAGCAAGATATACATAGGTACTTACTTTTTATTGTCTTCAAATTTATAAAGGTTTAAACTTGTATATAAATTTGTAAAATGTTCAAAAAGCGGTGATCTTTAAAATTTAACCTCTTTTTGTTGGCTATTTCACTTGTATTTTTTTTTCTAATAAAAGTTCCGACAAAAAAGTTAATAAAAAATTATTTAATTTTTTTTTTCTGTCTTCTTTTTAAATTTGTATGTAGGTTAAGAAAAATTTCTTTTCTTAGAAAATCTCTAAAAAAA